AATTGAAACCGAATCTGGGCTGAACCTTTTCCGATGAGCGAATCATGATATACCCAGGGGCAACAGGGGCCATTGTTACCCCCAAATCCTGTGATAACGAGTACATTGGAACAGATAATTGTAAAAGAGTTGAATAATAATAATCCATCGTTTTATGGATTATATCCTTAATCACTTACTCACTGTAAGATATATAGTCAGCTGTTGATGAGCTACCAACCCTATATAGGACTCCACATATTGCAGGAGTTGATTTGTCATGAATATTTCTTGTCATTGTCAGCTCATAATCACGATTTACATACTAAATCTTGATGATCGTGATCACAATCAAAGTAGGTCAAGTCTTTTTGTTTTAGGTTTAAAAAAATGACAGGAAAATACGCATATTTCCATAATCTATATACCCTCGATGAAGAAGGTTTTTCTGGGCAATTGATTACTAGATTCATGTTTCATCCACAATACGGAAGTAATGTTATTCAGATTCAAATCGATATGCCTGATATTCGTATCTATTCATGACGCATTCATAAAAGGCATAAAGGAAGAATGTGATGGGAATGATTAAGTGAAAAAAGTGAATTAAATTGTGCTGACAAATGAAGCAACAGTAAAGAAAACAATATAAATTGTTAAAAATCAGTTAATGAAATTGCAAACAAATTGATAAAACAAGCAAACGAAGGAATAAATGAATGATGAATAGTTGAAAAATGAATAAACAGATTAATTGATTAATAATTGATTGAGTCATTTTAGAAAAGAGGGATATTGTACAATACGACGGGCCTGTATAATTATATAAAGTCGGACACGGCAAAACCATAAGACCCAACAAAACGTAAGAAATCTATCTTATGGTACTACAACAAAAGAAGAAGCGAGAAGCGGGTGAGAATTTTTGAGAATTTTAAATTAAAAACATATGATATTGGAGTTTAGTCTTATGATAAAATTCTAATTTCACAATAAGAATGTGGCAAAATTGTTGCTCACTTGCTCGGCTCGCTAGGGAAAATAGCTGGACAGGACGTATGATATTTGAACAATATAAAGCCCTGCTATGTTCTCTTTACCCGGTACACAATAGCAAAGACTAAACAAAAAAAAATCAACCTCAGACAATTTCAATAGCCTTGTGCATCACATATTGACAATTATGTTCGAACATTACAATGACATCTGCCGTAAATCTGAACATGATTTCTCCAGGCATTATCATGATAACAAAAGGATATGGAAATGGCCCTTGAAGTGAGTTTATGAAAGTCTTTCAGATCATGTTGCCTGTATCATGTATGCTTGTACAAACCACATAATTTTCGGTTAGGAAAGACTCACAATCGCACTCTCCCTTGAAATTATATCATGAAACCAAATTTGATCGAGTATTTTTGTTATGAAGTAACAATTAACACGATCGCGACTACTTTCGACAAATCAATATGGGGCAATTTGCATAGCCTCGACGGCACCGAGTGAAATGTGCGACCATTAATAAGACATATTACGTAATTCTAACTTGATTTTTATGGGACATACCATTGGGTGTTGAAAATGAGGGGAGTTTAAAAAAAAAAACTAGTTATTTCCTTTTTTACACACAAAACTATACAAATGGAAGCTCAGCATACAAAAGATAGATTTAAAAAAAAGTATATTTCTCTATAGATAATGAACACTAGTGGTTTATTACCTCGACCGGAACCTTTGGTTAAGTATGAGCTATAATCAGGCGCGTACGCAGGATTTTTTCAAGGGGGGGTTTTAACATTTATAAATCGGTCCGAAAATTTCGCAACGACTCAGCCAGCCGCTGAATAAAGGGGGGGGGGGGGGGGGGGGGGGGGGGGGGGGGGGGGGGGGGGGGGGTAAGAGGACACATTTTTTTTTTTTTTTGGTCCCAAAAAAAATCGCAACGACTCAGCCGACCGCTGAATAAGCGGGGGGGGGGGGGGGGGGGGGGGGGGGGGGGGGGGGGGGGGTAAGAGGACACTTTTTTTTTTTTTTTGGTCTCGAAAATTGGAAATTTGACATTTGCTCCGTTGGGGGGGGGGTAAGGTCACCTTTTTTAGGTCGGCCATGGGAATAATTTTGTTTTGTTTTTTTTTTTTTTAATAATTAAAAAAAAAAAAAAAAAAAAAAAAAAAAAAAAAATCCAAAAGGGGGGGGGTTTAGGTTTTTTTAGGGGGGTTTACACACAAAAATTTCCAAAGGGGGGGGGTTAACCCCCAAAAACCCCCCCCCCCCCCCCCCCCCCCCTGCGTACGCGCCTGGCTATAATAATGTTGATCTAGCTATATAGAAAATACTAACTTTTTAAAACTAAAAACTAAAATTAGGACCATTTCAAAGGTGGTCTTATCTCAGCAATGGGGAAGTGTTATTAATTGTTGGAAAAAAAAAGAGAAAAGCCCACGGTGCCTTGGATGTTACTGAATTTCAGATTTTTTTTTTTTGGGGGGGGGGGGGGGGTAGCGGCGATCTTTCTCTTATGTGGATGCACGTAAATGCCGTTCCGAAGAAGTGAGCGAGCGATCTGACGTGTGGGGGAGGGGGGATGGGCGTGTTGAGGTCACGTCGTAAAACCGCTTGGTAAGGGAGGGGAGGGTTTTAAGCCTACAAGACAAAAATTAGTAGTCAGGAATCCCTGGATACTATCTTGATTGCATCGACATGACCTTAATGATAGCTGATTCATGATCAGTTTGATTCGCATGTAAACAGACTAGAGTTCATTGTTCAAGTTTGGTTTTCTCTCTGCGATGCGTGCGACCTACTCGTGTAGCTTTCTTCTTTTGTACGTTGTACTTGAGGAACCATAGCAACAATTGCGTCAAGCAAGCTAAACCGGATTGTCTGTTTCGGTAGACAATGGCGGTTTTGCTCAGGTGACTAGAATGGGATATGCCCTGCCAATAAAGTCTTGTCTAACTACACACCGAAGGTTAATCTGTGACCTATAACAGTTCTCTAATGAGACGATAACATAAAGGTTCTTATAGCTTCCATTTTATTGTCTAATGAATGTTGTAGGAATCAAGATGGTAGGAATAGGAAAAGAAGCTTAATTCACATTAACACAGGAATACGAGTGTTGGGAATGCGCGTAAAAGTAGGTGGGGATGGGTTGGTCGATGGTGGTGGTGATGATGATGATCGTTGTCAGATATTAAAAAATCTCCACCTCAATTTTTGCATACATGCTATTTACCTGTTTATATTTAAAACTATTGACGTCGGGTCCCATAGACAGCCTTGGATTCCGAATTTAGCAACTCAATGGTTTTATAGGAAGCAGTTAAGGAAGTGGGCCTACATCAGAGATAGAGGGAGGGAGAGAGAGAGAGAGAGAGAGAGAGAGAGAGGAAGGGGGGGGGGGGGCAATACGCGTTGTGATCTTTTTTTCTTGCGGCAAAACATCTTACATTTTACTTTCGGATTGTCCACAAAGCGATCTCTTTTTTTGTACAGCTTCATAATAATCATAATAACTATGTACCCAGGGCAGCCACATCAGAATTGATAGTGCTCTTCTTGCGGGCCTTATCCAATAAACATGTACCACAGCTAGTACCCCCACATTGGACAAAACATAACATTCTGATCATGACGGGGAAAATGAATGAGGGCAATGCCTCGTTCTTCTATTATGATGTATACAAAAAAAAAAATCAAGAATAGATAAGTCACGCCAATAATACCACATATATCACCGTAACTGCCACTCTTTCATGGGATGAAAAATGAAATAAAAATACTAATATAATTGGACATTGTGGTGATCATATTGAAAGACTAATTCAACAAAAATGCTATATGAAATAGATTTTGAACCCATAAAAGTCAGCAAAATGGTGATGATATCATACATCAAGTCATCTGTGATAAGTTTATTACATCATATCACTAACCGTATGATTTAAACTGTTCTACAGGTGGTGTAGAAAGTCTGCAAGCTTCAGGCAAGGTTTAATGTATGTGCCTCGCTGCATGTTTTCTATATGACGTGAATCCACGGACGGAAAATGTCCATTGCCTTGGAACTTGACAAGCCTGATGTGAAAACAATACAACCTGAAAATCCATCAAATAAATTCAATCTTCTCAGACCACATATTGCCTGACGTTCTCTTTATTACATACATTTCTCAATTTCCCTTACGTTCGGATTCGAGGGAAAATAATTACCCAAAGGCCTTGGCTATGGAATCACATTAATTATGAAATACCCTTGGAAAGTAACGTTCCTTATGTCCCCCGGCGAAATTACCATTATGTGCAATTGGAATGCAGATTTAAGAGGATGGGGCCCGGATTGGGGGGGGGGGGGTAGGCCCAAATATATTTCAGTTTCTTAACATACATGAATATATTATTTCTCAGTTGTTTCATCATTTAATCATCCGAATTTTACTTTCATTCGTTGGTCATCGTTTGTAAATGGTGGTGGTGACGGGGGGGGGGGGGGGGTATAGTTTAGTGCAGACAGTGGTGAGGTTTGGGGGGGGGGGTGGTAGGAAAAGCTTTGGCAATCCGCTGCCAAAATCATCTTCACCTGCAAGGCTGATGCTATTTGAGTTTCATGTTAGTCACACTCTGTTGAACAATCATGCTCCACGAAAGAAATGTCTTTTTGAGAGGCTCTACCAAGGTACAACTATTCATGTTCGCTGCAAAAAGCAAACATTCTACAGAGGACCAGACAAACAGGCTATCCTGTTTAGATTTAATGCTTTTCTGGCGTGTCTCCTTCTATTCATTCCTGATTCGATCTTTCACCATCTCTCTCTCTCTCTCTCCCCTTATGTGCATAATAATACAAGTACATCTCTGTCGTTTTTCCTTGTGCCTATCGTTCAAAATGAATTTATGCTGCTCCCTCTTTCCTCATTCTTTTGCGGCATCCTCATCTCAATTCTCTTAATATATTGTCTTTTGCTACTGATAATAATTGCTTTATGTTATACTAATACACAATACACGGGGAAATATGATACGGTATCTGTTTCGTATTTTATTGAATACATCAATACGACACCCATCACTCATATTTTTTATTAGCAAATAAACCCATCTCAAAAGAAATAAGTCACTGTATACAATTAAAAAATCTGTAGATTCAGGGTAGCGGCAGAACAAAGGAAATAAAAATATTGGTAATAGCATACATGCACCAACATATGGAATACAATGTATGACATGGCATTCAAAGTACTGTTAAATGAGGTGTTATCCTTGCTATTTGATTCGATTCATCATTTACGTCATACTTTGTGGAGTTAACTAGGGTGCCACCACCCGAACTGACTGGGCGAAGATCGTGAAAAGTTCGGGGTAGCTCCGCGTACCTCTTTACCCATAACGGATCACACTTTTTTAATCCGGGGAAAATCAACATTCTTTGACATGGTTGTCCACGACGACAATAGGGGCTTTTAGATGGCGTGGACGTGTTACGTCCTTTTAAGGCACTGGCAGTCACATGTGACATCCTTTTTAGTACATGGCAGTGCCTTAAAAGGAGGTCACATGTTGCAGTCCACATTCTCGTCGTGCAAATCTAAAAGTCCCTATTATTGTCGCACCAGAGCTAATATAAGCACCCCATATAAGAGCAGCTACAAAGCATCTATTTTACAACATTACGAGACAAAACATCTTCAGCACAAATACTGACCTATACCTCTTTTGTGATGAAATAAATATTCACAGAAAGTCAGAACTCTACATGAAGTGAGATAAGGGAAGTACAAAGAGAGGGAGAGAGAGAGGGAGAGAGAAGAGAGAGAGAGAGAGAGAGATGAAGAGACAGAAGGTAAAGAGTGTGATTGAGAAAGAATAATGGCTGATAAGAAGGTTCAGACAACACATGCACATTACAAATATAACAACGGTTTTATCTTTTGCTGTGGTTAGGCATTCTGTACAAAAAGAAGAGACAAGAAAGGCAATGCATCTATCGTACAGTGCCCATTTTTATTTTTATTTTTTAAAATATTTTTTGGGGGGAAGGGTTAATATAACAATAATGCCGACTGCATTCGAGGAGTCAATTCCATTCGACCAAACAAGAATATGAATGCATGTACATCTAAATAAACATGACACAGACACCACACAGACGCAATTAACTGGCAAAGAGCCCGTTTGGTCAAACACGTGGCGTCACTTCTTTCCAATAATAAGTTTGTTCAATGCAAATTAATTTGTGATACACTGACAAGGTAAGCTGTACACCATGAGTCAATCCCACATTCAGTAAGCACTTGATGGTCTGTATAAGCTCTATAATTTGTCACGCTACGGTTCCCTTCAACACCAATTACCCCCCCCCTTCCCTTGTTTATTCATTTATATGTTTCAAATCCAAAAAATTGTGCTAGGCCGTCCATACTCCTTTGTCTATAGGGTTGCATCCGGGCCTCTCCTCCGGATCAACCTGCCTGAATGTCCTTGACTGGCCCAGTGCCGGAACAATGTTCACACCATACCTGACACAGCTACACTTAAAATGGACCAATCACCAAAACATGTTTTGCCCTTGATGTAAGAGGTTCCATGTGACTGTACTGCATTCAAATATGAGGTAATCTCAAACACCCTCAGAATATATTCAATCCAAGGTGAACCTAAATACCTGCATGTAAGCAAATTCATCCAATCCCATTTAATTTTTCTACTAATTTTTTCTAAAGACAATAATTGCATTTCCATGTAGATATTACGAGATATTAGTGCTTTCAAAAAAGGCCTTGCAACAGTTTATGCAGTATTGATAGCTTTTGCACAACTGAGAAGGAAAATATTGCTAGCAAGATTTAACAGAAGTCAATACAGAATGCACATTGTTGGTTACAATGTGACCTTCCATTTCAATGATTATAAATTAGGATATTTTAAATTACATGCACGTTATCTTTCTACTTTAGTATTAGTACTAATAAACTTAAAAGCTAAAATTCCAACTACTACACACATTGAAAGTTAATAGACTACACTGCTTCTATTCATACAACTATGACTGCGTCGTTGATAGTTTATCAAACTGGGATATAAGTTCACTCAACCCTGCTGTCATGTCTGAGGGTGCCCTCTGTTCTTCAGGAACAGCCGATGCAGAGTTACTCTGAAAAATAAACAAAATTTGATAGAAATGAAATTAAAAACATCAATTTGAATTAATTTACATTAGGAGACCTAATTTCAGCTAGAAAACAGACAAGGTTCATACAACTTTTTAGAACACCCCCCCCCCCAGAAAAACAAAGTAGTTTTAAGTAACCGATGGCGGATCCAGGATTCTTCTATCAAACCCTCTAAAGAAACTGACTTATTCTATAGTCACAAGGCCAGGGCGACTCAAAAAGTCAAACAACAATATCTTGGCCATTTGGAGTTTGTTTGTTAAGTTATGAATGTTCTTATAAGAGCTTACTAAACATCTATTGTAATCATGAAAACATTCACATAACGTTTAAATCTAAGAGCCTATATATATATATTTTGTGTTTATATTGAATACATCAATGATGTCTCTATTTAAAGTGCTTTACAGATTACCACGGTCATGGGATTCAGGCTTGCCCGCACACAATGAATGCACATTCTCCACTCTCTGGCGAGCATTCCAGCCAGGCACCATTTCACAGAAGCTCACAAATACTGACCTAGGCTATAGTCATCAAATGAACTTGCAGGAGTTGGTATTTTGGTTTGTATGCTTGCTGTGTTTCATAGTTGAATTAGGAACAAACTATCTTGTATGGGGCAAACTCCTTTACACTTTCATGTTTAAACAAAGAAAAGAAGAGACAAAAAACCTACATTGTTCATCACTGCGATTCTTGGGCAGGATTTGCAACTGATAGAAAGGAAAGGGTTTTGAATACAAAAGCATATACCAGATAGCTCTTACAGAAACAAAATTGTGATTGGCCCACAGCTCGTCACTTAATATCGATTGTGAGGATCGTAATTAGCATATTTCACTCCCAGTCAATATTTGTATAATATGCCTACAATGTACATGTACCTCAAGTAATATTTAATCATACACCTACATGCTAAAACAATATAGCTAACATCACACTCACCCTAATTGAGTCCACAAACTCTGTCAGCTCCTGCCTGTTGAGAGCTGACCTCTGACCTGGTATGCGTACAATGACCTGTGTAGGGTCATTGTTCTGGATGCCAACAGTGTGACCAGGAGGAAGGAATCCAGTCAGACTACATAACAGCTCTCTCTGACCTGACAGTAGACCGGTGACTGATAGCATCATCTCCGCCACACTGATGCTAGGAGGGAGAGGTGATGAAAGGAAAGGTCAGCTGCTAGTCAGTTAAATATGGCCATGTACTTGTCTTCACATATATTTATATCACTCTCAAATGAATCAAGAGAATGTCAGACATTTGATAACGTGTCTGCAATATCCCATTTTTTTTCATGGATGACTATTGGCATAAGCAGCTTCATTAGAAATAGTCATTAAGTCACTGGCTGCAGGTATAACAATCTTCTTTAAAACTCATAATAACAAATCTGACAAAAAGTAAATGTTAAAAAATGGAAATCATTAACAAAATGCATTTAAAAGTGATCAATGTGAGAATTGTGTTTAAGATGAGCTGGGTGGGAAGGATAATTTACTATTTATGTTATCAAAGTCAAAGGAAAATGAATTTGATGTTCAGTTTTGTATATCATTCAGTACCAACTTTATGTCACTGACCTCCAGTGAAATAACAAACAATGGAAAGGTTTGTTATGTACCTCTTTGATTGATTTATCAATCAAAGAGTTTATAATTTTTCTTATAATCATTTTGTTCTTAAAAATTGAACATAACAATAGCTTATAACTACAAACCATTTAAAAACAATACAAACAACCTTCCGAACAAGGTATTCCCATGTATTTATCATGGATAGTCTTATTATGTTACCAGGACTACCGGTAGACCTTGATTAGCAATATGTTTGTTTCTTTTTCCCAATTGTCTTTATTGTATATCATTGCATGAATGCACAAGTTTTGCTGAGAGAAACTTACATACATTTAGCATTTAACTAGATGTAAAGAGAAAAAAAAGAAGGGTGCAAACAATAGAAGAGTACCAAACTTTGAGCTTATTTTCTGGTCATCTTCCAGAACATGTTCAAATACATGCACCTGCTTGGTACAGTTAGGCTGTGTCTTTTGGAATACATCATTATAAAATTGAAGAAGAAAAAAGAATGTTTGACCTATGGTTAAAAAAATGGAAATGTGTAACTAGTGGTATTGCATATTGATAAATGCAGCCAATTGTATGACTGTCTTACCTGCCCTGTGTTCCTTTGTTGATTGAATCAATGAACTGTATTTGAGTATCAGGCTGATCTTGGAAAGTCTCTGTGAAGTTAGACACATACTTGGTTGCCTTCTCTACCTTCTTGTCCTTGGGTTGTGCTTTGACCACAGCAACGGGCGTCTTGGTTCCAGACTGCCAAACAAGAAGAGGATGGTTTCATTCTCAAAATAAATGATCATGGGAAAGAGTAGCTTGATACAGAGGGTGTCTTAGATGGATAGATGGATGGTTAGGCAAATGGAAATAATGTAATCACTAAAGTGGCTCCACAAAAAATATTTTGTGTAACAGATATGTAGCATCCTTTACTCAATTATGCTAAACCATTGTTATTCTGCATAATTATGTAATACATGTTGCACTGTAAAGACAACTGTTTTGCAAATGGTCCTGTCTTAGTAAATGACTACTACATGTTGTGATATTGGAATACCAAACACACCAACTATGTGTGTAAACTCCAATTTATCCTCCTCTCCCCTCCCCTCCCACCCTCCCTCATTATCCCCGTCATCCCCCTCTCTAATATATTTCCCTTCTCTTTCAATCCCTCTCTCATTCCATCTGTCTCAAACATAATTCCTTTGTAACAAGGTTAAGACTCATGAAGAGGTTCCACATTATTGTCAAGAGATAAGGATATAAACAATTATTATCAAGCTTTTTTTCTTTCTTTTGACAAAGTTTCAACAGACAATAAGTAGTTATATAAATTCTGAATTACAATCACAATTAAAAAAACCGACAAAGTAATGATAATTAGTACTAGAAAAAAACTACACAAACTTGTTAAGAGTTTTGATGTAAAAAATATCACATACTTGTGATGTTTTATTTCAAAATGTATACACATGTTTCTTTCATATCAATAATTCTCTGTTTCTAATTTCAATAATACATTATCTTTTTATTAATATGTCTCTTCATACTCAAATGTACTTGCAATGCAGAATAACATGAGTGATACATATAACCATGGGAGCTGTCTATTTAAAATCATTTTATTATATTGATTCATTTCCAGTCACACAAAATCATGTAAAGTCATGGACCTTGTACAACCCAAACAAGGAACAGATATGAACACTCCTCAGATAAATCCATTTCACTTGTTGCCTATCAGTGAATGAACACAAAGTAGTCTGTTTGGAGTCAGAAGAGCATTAACTCATATACTTTACAAGAGTGAACATCCTTCTAGCTCTGTACATATACACATGTATTAGCTACTTGCACTTAAATGTAAAACAAACAGACATACAAACAAATTCATTTTGAACCCTTCCATGAAAGCCAGGATTGCAAACTGTCATCTCCAACAAACTTTAAAGATTCAATTTGGGGGTATTGACTACCAGTATATTGTTTAATTTGGCTTCAGATGTCTTTCATGGGAAGAAATTTTCCATGACATGTACACATTTGTACTTCAATACAAAACAAATAGCAAAAGAATATCAAGTTATCCTTGGGCAAGAGGTCCCCGCTCCCCCTCCCCTCCCTTTCTTCTAGCTATGACAAATTATTTATCCCACATTTGAAACGTCATGTTAATCAACAGCATTAAATACAAAGTGAATGTGCAATACTGTATTTAAAAATTCAAAATTTCAAGGTAACTAGCCCCTCCCCCCTCCCCCAACAAAAAAAAAAAAAAACATAGAAAAACAAAACTAGAATAAAGACACTCTTTCTCTGTTAATTTGTTAACCTTAACTTCTGTATTTTCACCTGAACCTTTCCAAGATGAGTTTTAAGGCAATTCAATATTGATAGATGCACAATTTAACCACTTCAAGTTTTTACTGAAAATAGTTAAAGAGTACATTTTAAATAAGTAGTAGTTACTTATCATTATGTATTAACAGCAAACAAACGATGGGGCAAGGCAAGAGGACGAACTAGCAAACGCATATTGGCAATTTATCTCATAAATCTTATGAGAGATTCAGATGAAACATACCGGTAAGAAAGGTAATGTACAAACACTGAATAAGTCAGTCAGAATTGTTGTCTTCTGTGGACATTTGCAAGGGCATTATAAAAAATTATATCATTGTACCTGTAATATGAATGTACCTATTGCACCTTAGACATGACTTGTATCTTTAAGAATGATTTAGTGACAATCATATGACATAAACATGATCTTCTAGGCTGATATTGCACATACGATCTGAGAAAAATATGTGGTGGGGTTATTGAGTATCAAAACGCATTAAAAAAACCTTTTACATCAAGGTAGGGATGCAAATTACTGAAAAACCACCAAGTATCATGCACAAATGTACAGCCTACAGGTAGAAATGTGTTGTGTTCTGAACAAAAAATAAATATAATCATTCACACTTGGATATTCATATCCATATTCATATCCATACATGTAAAGATATAAATTATTAGCTTTTCAAGACAACATAGCATAACAAGGACTAAAACAACATCACATAACTTAAGCAATACCTCAACAGGCCGAATAGAACCATGAAATCTGGAATAAATTATATAGCACCATGAAAAAGTAGCATGAATAAATATATTGGTTGAATCAATTAACTATAAAAAGGGCTAAAAACATTTAGAATAAAATTTAAAAAAAGTCTTGGTCAACATACAGAAATGTTGACCAGCATTGATGACATTTTATAGGTATCTTTAAAATCTGCAAAAGTTTAGACTGAAGTATTAAATAAAACAGAATGATACATTGAACAAGGGAAACGCTCTTGGCGGCGGTCTCGCCTGCATAACGCAATTCAATATGATTAACCAGAACGTCAATGACGTAGCGCTCATCTGCATCTCGCAACAACAAATATCGTAAATTTTATGTGGTACACTTTTGAACTGGTCAAAAAATTTGATGCCCTGCATGGAAGGGACATAATATCATTTCATTTGCATAAAGTACCATAAATAATCAATGGAGCAAAATCTCACAATTCTGTGTAGAAGTTTAGTGTTCCAAATTTAGCTCTACCAGATAAGGCAAACCAAATCAAAATCAGTCAAGAAATGAGGGAAAAGAAGCAATTTTCGTTATTTTTGGAATAAATTTGCATAAATTACCATACTTAAAGGTAATACAAAGTTTTGGGAAATTTTGAAAATGGGTGGATAGTGATTCTTTACAATTTTGATGTATTTGGATACCCCTGTGGATGTAATATAAGCAGTAGAAAATTTAGCCCCTAAAACACTTCTGCTCCCGGTAAATTTTGATAAACATTTCAATTAGCGTCTACGGCAGTACGATGGTAGCTGCGACCATGAAAATCTCAGAATATGTAGTTGTGATATATAATTTCCAAACGGAAATAGCTAATCGGTCGATTTAAGTCAAGAAACATTGTTTTATAGCTTAATTAATGTCTTGACCTTGAGAGGGAGCTATACAACATAAAGAGTTTATCATGCACAATTTCATAACTTTAGACTCGGTTTCAACCGCGACAATGATCACTGAATATTGTAGGGTCGCATATGCTTCCAATATGTTCATTTGAACCAAATTCATGACCCCATACCAAAACTTTGTATCACCTTTAATTAATGGAGAACAATTTCAAAATTCTGTGTAGAAGTTTAGTGTACCAAAGTAAGCTCTACGATATAAAGCAAACCAAATCAAAATCGGTCGAGAAATGAAGGAGAAGAAGCCTTTTTTGTGATTTCAAATAAATTTGCATAAATTAGCATAGATAATGAATTTTACAATTCTGTGTAGAAATTTAAATCCCCCTCCTAGCCCTATCATATGAAACAATCAGAATCAAAATCGGTTGAAAAATAACGAAGAAGAAGCATTTTGAAATTATTGATGTTGATGTCACAACAAAGTCTAAGTTTGTTGACCTTAAATGACCTTTGACCTTAACTTAGTGACCTGAAATTCTAATCACATGATTGGGGAGACTTGATAACCCTATAGTCCAAGTTTCATTGACTAAAAACTTATCCTTTCAAAATTATATCAAAAATTCAAAAACTTAACCTTAGGTTAAATTTTCGATGTTGACGCCGCCATCGCCGCCGCCGTCACCGGAAAAGCGGCGCCTATGTCTCCCTTTTTGCTATGCAGGCGAGACAAAAATGAAATTTTGCATTGTAAAATTCTAGAGTATTCAAGACACAAATTTGAGTAAAATGATAACAGTAAACTGATATTCAAGAAAATGCAAGCACTTTGTGAAGCATAGTTTACAAGGATTTCAGGCTTAATATATCTAACATGGATGAATAAAATGTAAAATTATAAAATCTTTCTCCATCACAACATTGGTCTCTTTAACATTTACATCACAATCTAAAATTGGTATCTAATATCTGGTTACTATACTATGACAAGCATGCAAAACATAAGATACAATACATGTAGTGGACATAATCAAATGAAGAAATAAAGAGGTACTAAGGTATAACATGCCTAGAAATTGAGAAACTACAGACGTTCTTAAACGTGGAATGACAAGGGCACCAACATCAAATGGCAAAAATAAAACTTTAACGTCATTTCTGTACATTTAGCATTTACATTTTCAGTGAGCTTCCTAACATTTTTTAAATATTGAAATTTGCTACAAATATAAGTTAACACACTGGTCAAAATTACATATTCTCCTTATCTGACCAGTACATGTTATTGTAGTAATATTGTGACTTTTAATAATACCATAATGATTATAGTATATGGCTGATCTCAAATTACATTTTTTTAATTTGGACTTACATACTTGCAGTCATTGTGATGCACACAATGTAAGTTTGAGGTATGCTCTATTTCATATCAATGATAAATAGCACACAAGTTGAAACACCAAACCCTTGCTCGACAGTCACTCTCATTAAAAAAAATGCTGGTCGTAAACTTGTTACAAAAAGAGACATTTTGTTGGTAAAATAAATAAATGTCCTTTTATCTGTTGAGATTTCTACACGCCATCAATGGCAAGAACTTCCCCCTCAATTTGACGAAGGTCAATGATTTGATCTTCCACCCCCACCACCTGACTCAACTCTTCCCTGATATGAGCTACAATATCTTCCAGGTCTTGGGTTGATCCCTCAGTATGTATCTGGTTGTCAGAGCTCATGTCCTCTAGAGTGCTATAACAGCCAATATGCATGTCCTCTGGACTATTGCTACATTCTAAGATGAGCTCTGTGTGGGTAAGGGCTGGATGTACTACCTCAACTGAGCTACAAGTATCATGTATCTTTGAATTCCTATCATTTGGCTCATTTCCCTTGTTAAGTGGGTATTCAGAGTTGTTTGTTAACTCAGAGTGCTGCTGATGAAAACCTCCACCATCTATCTTGTGTTTGCTCTCGGCCACTTTCTGCCCAATCTCCTCTGCTTTCTTCTCCATTGATGTATCCTCGTCTCCAGTTGAATTCACCTCTTCAGCTTGGGAGAATTCATCCGAACTGTCATCGGTCACAAGTAGGTACTTTTTAAACTCACCAGATCTATCCTTTCTCTCATCAAGTAATTTTACAGATGTTACGCCTGTATCAAATCCTTTGACAGATGTTTGAGAAACTTCACTTGTTTGCTTAGGATCACCATTGGATGCATGGCCCTGGATCACATCCTCGTATTCATCATCAATATCTTCATGAATGCTATTTTCCTGGTGATTGGAAGCCTCTTCTTCGTCAACGAGAGCAGTGATAGAGCGAACTTTCTCCACGTCTTGAGTGACATTGTCCCCGCATGTGGTTTGTTTCTCATACGCTGGAATTTGCAATCTCCTTGGGACCATACTGTGACAGTTGTGTAGCAGAACACACTGTGGATGAAGGCCTCGATCACATGATGAACATGCTGTACGGGTGATCTGCGACTTTCTTGATGTGGAACAAACACAACAGTAACGGGTTATACCATCGTTGATCTCCACATATCCCATGTCATCATCATCATCTTCAAATGGTTCTTGATTATCTGAAGTATCCTATAAAAGAAAATGGAAATATAATAGTTTAAAAATAGTTTAATAGTAGACTGATATGGCCAAATAAAACAATTTTAGTTAAAAAACATTTTAGACTGAGAAGGCCAAATCATCTCCTTACCCCTTCCAATACATTCACTGACTATTTTTCTTCAATTCATTAGCCATATGAAATATATAACAAGTTTTGTCAAGAATAAGGGTCATAGAGAACAACATCACTGATAGCATATAAAATCCCTAATCCAATTCACATTCTATCCTTTGCAACTTTCCAAGAAAAAGGAAACAAAATAATATGACCTCTAAAATAATGAAAAATCATTCCACTATAAGCAGATCAGACAGGGCTGCACTGAGACTCTAAGGACTCACCATCTCAGTGAGTTCTTGAGGCAGGTTGATCATAGGACATATATGTTGTGGAGCACAGATCCTATGCAGTCCTTTCTTACAATGGGGACACATTGTACTGGAGCGACTGCGCCTGCCTGCCTTACGATTGGAACACACTGCACAGTCTTTCTTCCTTGTCTTGACATCACTCACAAGGATGGGAACCACATCTCCAGTGAAACGTCCACCTGTAATAGCCTTCAAAATGAGAGCAAACGGATGACTGAAAAGGATACTCATTTCTGCACTATGCAGCAATAATGAGTATTTGTAAAGCGCCGAGTGTTCATGAATTATATAGACTGTAATTAAATGAAAATTGCAATACAGAATACATGAACAATATAATAAAGAGTTAAAACAGAGTTTGATGCAAGTGGTACAAAAGAGAATTACAAAAGTCTAAACCAAAGTGTGGCTGAAGTGACATTTTAAAGTGATAAAACAAGAAGACTTGCTCAGAAATAGGAAGGTCCATAACCTATACCCACAATCTTACCCCTAGTACATCCACAGCTGTAACATAGTCAAACCTCTGCCTATGGGGTTCAAATGAAAGTGCAGATTCAGGACTAGAAGTACACTGTTCAACAATTTGCTCAAGTGATTAGGAAAATCAACCTGACCTTAAACTTGGAATCTACTATTGAAACCAACCTTTTTAAAATTCTAATTTTGAAATATTATGTATGCCAGCTCTGCCATCATTAAAGAAAACATCTCATTCTTACCACTGTGTTTCCTTTGGAAGTATCATTGAACTTGCAGTAATGGCGCCACTCACATCTTAGGTGAACGTTCTCCTTACAGACAAGGCATGCCATCCTGGTTTTCTGGCCAGAATGGCATACCGTACAGAATTTGTCTTGGCCTGTCTTTAGAAGATTAGAGTCCTTATTTTTTCGGTCTTTCATAGGCACTGGAGAATGATCCTATTGACAGGAAAGATATAGAAAATTTATAAAATGATATTCGAGTAGCATACACCAATTAAAAAAAAAAAGGTGCTATATGGTTAACAGTTGGCATGGATGTAAAACTAACATAAATGAGCATGAGGAACAAATGATCAACATTTAGAAAAAGAAAAGCAATGTCCATTTGGAATAAAGATTACCAGACCTATATAAGGTACCTCAGTACAAATACCACAACATTCAGATATTTCAATCACATTCCACATTTTTATTGCCATCCTTTTGTATTTTGCTTCATAATAACTGAAGATCACACAAACTGGATTGAGAAATGGACAATGTCTCATCTTAATTCAACTTACACCATCAATGAAGTTTGCATTGGATGTAGAGGGTGTTGAGAGATCCTGCTGACAAGGTTCTAGTGATGGTTCTACATCATTCATCTCTTCATCGTTTGAAATGGTCATTGGCATCGTGGCTTCAGTTAAAGCAGTGAAGGATGAATCCTGCATTAAGAAACAAATAATTAATTTATAATCAAACATCCATTTTTCAATCTTGATGTTTGTAGTAACAATGCCTTTAGTGTAGATCATATTAATTCAGTTTTATTAAATTCCTTCAACTGTTACTTTTAATATACAGGAGAGGTTGTCTTATAACAAAATAATCAAAACTGGAGAAAAAAAAAAAATGCAACAAAAAGTTGGAGTAAATTTGTAAGCGTATTGTACAAACTTACTAGTGAGAGTTTGCTTCAGAAACAGATTATTTTGACAACCACATTGGTTACAGGTCAAGGAGGACGAATTAATACATTAAGTTCTTCTATGTATGCTGCCCGTCAGGATGGAGTATGCATTTTAGGTTTAGGTTTTGATGTTTTAGTATCCATTCATAAATGATGTTTTATAAAAAGATAAGAAAAAGCTTAGTGTACACAATCAAAAACCCACTTGTGCATTGCTAACGTTGCTCCCAGGGCAGATATGTTGGGCAAGGCACCTGACATGTAGACCTCTCCTACAGACAGCACACTGTGTTCTTGATCTATTTCTCTTCCCATCCCGCTTCTTTCCTGAACAAACATCACATGCTTTTCTTCCATCTTTCACCTCACAGCTCTCTATCCGTACCACTAATGGTCTCTCCCCAACAAACGTGCCTGTGTTCTGTGCAGTTTCAAAACAGAATATACACTCACTACATTTGATATAATTCACACTATTCATAAATAACAACCCATCTTTCAAGAGGGGATGAGAGGCATATTGATTTTGTGAATATGAAATTAGGAAAAAAATGAAAAACATGATTTCTTTAAATATTTTCATAGGTCACCATAAAAATTCTCACTTGAGTTACTTGAAAATAGATGCCCAATTCCAATTTGAATGTTCAAACTGAACACTATGCTACCCACATCCTTTTTGTCCGAGATTGATCACATTTTGGAGTTTAAAAAAAAAAAAAATCTCTATCTTTTATATATCTCTCTGAGTCTCTTTTACATTATTTTCCCTCATTCCCTCAAAGTTGGGCTAAAATGTAACACTTTAGTTACAATATTCTGACCCACAGAATAATTGATTACATTATTTCAAACATTACGCTATTACCCATCGAGTAAACACTGTGACAACCTTAGATTACATACCAAGTTAGGCGCATGCCTTTCTGTGTTCTCCTCGTCCCTAAAGCACTGATGGCGATAGAAGCATTTCCTGTGGACCCCTATACCACATACATTGCACATGAGATGGGTCATCTTCTTGTTTCCATCATGGTAGGCACATTCATTACAGTCTACTAAGCTTTGTGGTCCACACTTGACCAACATTGCTACCACCTCAGGGTTATCTTCCTGTGAAAAGCCGTCACTCAACTCGTCGGCTTCCTCTACCATATCATCAGGCTGAAAGACAAACGATTGCAAGAAATGGTGTGATGCCACTTTATTCACATTGATCTAATCTACAGATATTATTCATCAAAAACTTCCCCACAATTTTATACACACATAATTTGATTTTAAACAGATAATAAGAGAGCAGTGCTCATTACTAAATATTGCAAAGATACACAAACAAAATTTGGATTTTTTATAAACTTTAAATTAAGACACAAAAAATGGTACATATAAGGGGAGGCAGAAATTGTGTGTGGGCATATATAATTGATTGTCATAAAGTAACATATTTAAAATGTACAGTAAACATAGAATTTCACAAAGAATTCAATTTTCACAGTACATAAAGTACACTATGTCCATCAACATTTCATCGCTCTGTAAAGCGATGTTTTTGAGTGAGCAGCCTAGAAGATCAGACACTTTGAAGCTTGATACTTTGACATGAAATGAAAGGCTCCAAAAGCTCTCATGAATTGCTTCATCCAGTGCACATTTTGTGCGAAAAACATGACAAATACGTCTATCACCATGGAGAATTTGCATGGTGAAAACCAAGTCATGAATTCATAGATTTGTTTTTACCGTTAGTCATTTTACTCTCCATCCACCTCTATGATGTACAACCTGTATATGAGGAAATCAGATTGCAAGCTAAATTGCTAGATATTCCTACTCCAGTAGATGTTTTGGCAGAGGCTAATGTTGCAAAGGGGGCAGAATCTTATCCCATTTGTGTAATGCCTCTATTCATGATACCTTTCTTGTCTATGATATTTAATATGTCTATGGTTTGGACCTTACCTTATTACTCCAGGTGAACACTGTTGCTTTATCCACTGCAGAGCTCACAGTTGGGACATCATACTAGCACAGACAAATGATACAAATTTACAATGAATGATATCATTCAATATGAACATTCCATTAAACGCTCATAGGATAGACCCGTCTGCATACAAGGAAATTTTCCTTTGCAATTAAACTATGACCACAAAAGTGAATCGGGAGAATTCACAAATATACAACATAGTATGAAGCTTATACATGTTACTGTATAAAGGTCATAATTATGCGGGTAGTAATTTAGAAATATGTATTGCTTTATTGTATTTCAGTAATTTCAGAAATTCCATTTTCATCTTTAAAGGGAAAGTCCACCCCAAAAATAATTTTGTTTCGATAGAGGCAGAATAATAAGAAAATCAGGTGAGTGAAAGTTTGAGCAAATTCTGAATGAAAATAAGAAAGTTATGAATTATTGAAGTTGTGATCAATCAAATACAAATTGGCAACTCTGTGACTTATTATACGAGCTCTCCTTTATTTGCTTTGTGCATAATATTCCATAAAATCATGTTTTCTTCGTTATTGATGACGGAATATATATTTGTTCCTTGCAGGGGGAGTATAGAAACATATTTGCAATTATTATATTTAGGGTGCATGTATGGTTGAAATTTTTCTTGAGGGAAAATGAAAATTTTAGATTTTTTTAGTACTGAGCAAATGGAAGTTGAGCTCGCATGATACGTCATAGAGTTGCCAATTTGTGTTTGATTGATCACAACTTAAAAAATCCTAACTTCCTTATTTTTAATCGGAATTTGCTCAAACTTTCACTGACTTGTTTCTCTCATTTTTCTACTCCTATTAAAACTAACTTAATTTCAGGGTGGACTTTCCCTTTAACCATCTCATGTACAGTGTAAAAGGCAAAATATTCCTGGGAAGGGTCATATGAAGCTTGTCAGTCTATTCCATAATGACTGACAAATAAAAACAATTTTTGGAAATGTCAATCATTGATTTCAAGGGTTAATAAAAAAAATTAAAAAAAAATCATCATTACTTGCTTTATTACAATAAGGCAGCCAATTTCTTTACACAATAAGAGGATTTTCATTTTGTTTGCTAACAGAGATGGAGTTAATGAAACGATACGGTATATCATTTTGGCTCTCAGCTGAAAATTTCTTACATTTGGTAAAAGTGTCATTGGTACCAATGACACTTTTACCAAATGGTAAGGCTTCAGGCTTCTTGATAGTACACCATACGATTGGCCATTGCAGTAGGCCGAGAAGGAAAAGATTTCTCAAGTTCATTCTTCTCAATAATCTTAACAGTAAATGATTCAAAAGTTATCAAGTGCTTGATCGTGCAAACCCCTCCCCCTTGCTGTCCTGCAAACTTACATGTAGGTATTCAATTTGCCAACTGATATGAAAATCACATTGAGTATGTGAATCTGACTCGTGTTTAATAATAATTGATATCAATAACAAGCCACAAAAACTGTAATTAGCTACTGAAATAAATGTATTTGATTGGTTGTGAGCAAATTTGTCAATGAAAATTGAGTTATTGACACATGTTATTAATAACAAATGTTATGAAACAGGGCCCTGGTTCTCATCAAATTTCTAGTGTGAACAATTATTTGTATGTTCGTGACTTGCGACCATCTATCAATACACCTTTTACATACTGCTACTTTAAAAAAGAAGAAGATCAAATTGATTGAGTGAATGGAGCAAAAAGCCTGGAGTACATGTAAATACCTTTGGATGTTGTTTGCTGAGACCACAGACGTGGAACTGAAGACACCTATGATGTAGACCCTTCTTGCACAGACTACACTGAGTGTAGGCCCTCTTACGCCTGCCGAAGCAGGTACGACTAGAGCATACAATGCAGTCCTTCCTTCCATCTCTAACATCATCACCAAGGATCTTCACAACTGTTGGTTTCCTATCACTCTCTATGTCTTCCTGTTGTTTTTTATTCAAAGAAAGGAATTGAAATATCCTTATTCCTCGTGTCTTATTTAATGAAAGCTGTTAGCTTGAAATTGGTATTCACAATGATATCTTTACACTCATACATTTCCAAACTAGTGTAAACTAGATGGACCTTCGACTGTGCGCAGTCGAAAATGATGCCTCCGCCATGGAGCAATTTTACAAACCAAAACAGAAGCAATTTTTAAACTTCAAGTTTGATTGCAATCCACTAAAAGATTCTCAGAATAATGTGATATTTTTCATATTAGGCTTGAGTCGGTAAGGTCGATCACACCGGGACCCGACCGTTGCCGTCGGGTCCCGGTTTCGTTTTTTGAGAACCGACGCCCCGAAAAAAATAATGAAATATGTAAGAAATTGCAGTTTTGCACACCACTAAAATCAATCCACCTTAAAACATAAGTATTTAATTGTTACCAATCATATTCTAGCTCATCCTGAATCAATCCGAACTGCTGATATAAATATGGGTTGCAAAGCACTTCGCCCCATGGGGTTGTACTTGCCAGCTGCTAGCTAGCTACTGGCCGGGTCTCTCGGCAGGATTAATAAATCAGGTTGAAAGAAACATTGATGCTTGAATAATAAAACGGCTTTCTAAAAAGTACTTCTTTACAACATACCGATCAAATAATTTTTAAAAGACAAAATAGATATTTTTTCTTTGATTTTGAACACTGCATGCTTCTTTTAAAAGCTGAAAATTACTTGGTAATCACAAGAAGTTTCGATACGGATAGCTGTTGCAAGGCAAGTTTAGACTAGTCTCAGAAATATGCGCAGTGCTCCTCATCGTTAGCTGTAATGCGTGCCAGAACGAACCCAAACAAAGACGTGATCGTAACAAGAAAAAAAGCATTAAAAACTACGAGAGCACAATTCGAAAAACAACTACTCAAAATTATCGTAAGCAGATACATAACTTGGAGGAAGAATACAATAGTTGTTCAAGAAAAGCCACAGAAATAGTGATATTTAAGGAGTTACTATAGGTACAATCATTATCGGAATGGGCCTGCTGATATGTCCGAATTACACGAGGCTAGAAACCAAATACCGCCCTCTACGGTAAAAGGTAGTATAACAAAGGATTTGAGTATTTGCAGCAGGCCCCTTGAAATAAAAATGTTCCCAGTAACTCCTTGATTATCACAATTTCTGTGGCATTTCTTGGGCGATTATTGAATTCTTTGTCCAAGTTATGAATCTGATTATGGTAATTTTTAGCAGTGCAGTTGTCTTTCCAATTGTGCTCTCGTAGTTTTTAATGATTTTTTTCTCGTTACGATCTCGATCGTTCTGGCACGCATGACAACTAACAAGGAGCACTGCGCATTTTTTCGAGACTAGTCTGAACTTGCCTTGCAACAGCTATCCGTTTCGAAACTTCTTGTGATTACCAAGTAATTTTCAGCTTTTGAAAAAAAGCATGCGATGTTTAAAATAAGAGATAAATATTTATTTCGTCTTTAGAAAATTATATGATCGGTATATTGTAAAGAAGAATTTTTTAGAAAGCCGTTTTATTATTCTAACATTCATATTTTTTGACCAGATTTATTCAACCTGCATAAATCAAAATGGCGGCTCGAATGTTGTCTATTTTTGCCTCAGTTTTTTTACTTTTAGAGGCACGATAATGGCACTAGACATTGCCAATCATGGATGAAAATAATGTCAAATGGAAGAATATACCAATCTGAGCCGAGGTATGCATGTGTTGATTTATTTGAATGATAAAAAAGGTCACTTTTAAGGGACATACTGATGATAATAATCATGATATGCGCTTTTTATAGAGGCAAGTGACAAATCCTGCGAGCTGATTTCGGGACACCGGGTCCCGATCGGTACAAGGCCGTCGGGACCTGGTTTATGAAAATCCCGACATGACTCAGGCCCATTTCATATACATGTTTGACCCTTCGATCTTTGACCTCAGGAACCTAAAAATCTATTCACTGAATTGGCTCTGCAAGATACATGTTTTGAGTTTGATAGTAAGCCATCCATCGGATCTATTGATAATACGTTCACAAGCTATTTTCGCATACATAATGAGCCCCATATCCTTTGAAATTTGACCTCGTGAACCCAAAATCTAATCAGTTCATTGGCTCTGCAAGATACATACATGACCCAAGTTTGGCGGGAATCCATTGATTGGTTCTTGAGATAACGCGATCACGAGAACGGGACGTACGGACGGATGGACAACCCAAAAACATAATGCCTCCGGCTACTTTGTAGCGGAGGCATAAAAAAGTTTTAACCCTTGTTTTTACCATTTAAAAGTTGTTTACATCCATCATTTTATCTGTACCTGAATATCTGTGTCACTGGGGGAAAAGAATTAAATCATGAACTGTTCTTTGATATCTTGGTCCAAAATTAACTTTTAATCACCAGGGGTCAATTTGGAACATAATTTCAATGACAAGGCAAATGGTTGCTTTTCCTTCTTTAGTTCACATCTCCCTTGTGTGCTCATTATTAAATTAACAATCCAGAGAAAAGGAAGAAGTGATTCTTCCTTCAACTCACCTGTAAGAAATGATGTCCTTGAGAGGAGTCCACTTCTGTAGGGTTAGCTGCATTCGAAATAAACTCACAGTCCTCTTCAATTTCAACTTTGATATTACATGTCTCGGCAAGAGCAGTGGATGTCTGGGCAAGAGTATTCCGGTGAGCATGTGTTGGAGTTTCATGTGGTCTCAGCTGGAGTTGAGACAATAACCCTTCTTGAGTATGGAATCGCATTCGAGGGTTGAGCTGCGTGTGAGAGTTGAGTTGTGTGTGAGAGTTGAGTTGAGTGTGAGAGTTGAGTTGAGTGTGAGAGTTGAGCTGTGTGGGAGGGTTGAGCTGTGTGTGAGAGTTGAGTTGTGGTTGAGCACTGAGTTGGAGATTTGCATTGGAGATGCTCCTGCCACTGCTATGACTTGATAGTTGATTTGCCATATGCAGTTGGCTGCTACTATTACCTAGCAAAGTGCTCTGGGCCTTAGATCCTGTCTTTCTCTTCTTTTTTTGACTGCCAGAAGAAATTCTATTCAACTCCTGCAAGAAAAGATATATATATGCACTGTTAAATTACATTCAATCAATTAAATTTAAAAAGCAGTAAGAACAAAAAACAAGAAGAAAAAAAATACTTATCACAAGGGGTCTTGAAGAAAAAAAGTACACTACAACCAAGCAACTCAATGATGTTTGTTGCACAATTATCCGTCAAAATCATTTTTAGATGGGACACTAATATAACCATTTTGTATTCACACAATCCTTTTGTCAGAGGATCCAGCATGACCTAATGGATATTTCCACCATTTCAAAACTTATATGGCTGTATGTATATTATTTGCTAAACAAGATTATACTCTGAAACGTATGGCTTCCTAAAAATGGTATGGAAATCTATATTACTGTTTTATTAATGTCTTACATTTTCATTGACTTCTTCCTCATTCTTCATCCAGGCACACATGTGATTATGTTCACATTTCCTATGCAGGCCTTTCTTGCAAAACTTGCATATAGTCCTGGACCTATGTCGCTTTCCCAGCCTGCGTTGTGAGCAGACAATGCAATCTCTCCTCTTTCTGTTACCACCCGTCAAAAAGACCACATTAGTTCCTCCATCAGCAAGCTGAAAGATACAAGACGAATACTAATTGTCAGTGATTCAAACAATCAAAATACAATACCAACATGTTTCAAACATTTACAGTCTACAGCAAGAATAAATAACTGAAATGTATCATTCACACTTTAATCACAAATGTGCATGTGCATTCATAGATTTGTTAAAAGACTTGTCTGAAATGTCTCAAGTGTAATTGTTTTTTTAAACATCTGGACCCCATTGTTTTTTTAAACATCTGGACCCCGTCTTACAAAGAGATGATATTGATCCGAATCAATATCAAGTCCCTAAATCAAGCACAAGTTTGCAGTCTCCTATCTCTTATGTACATAGTTGTGATTGATATCAATCACAAATAAGTTGCGATTGATATCAACTCTTTGTAATACACGGCCTAGGTGTGTATTCTTCCAATTCAGTTCAGCCCAATCCTTGGGTTAGGATCATTAACAAAAGAAAACTTTAACCTCGGACAAACTTCCTTGTTAAACCCAATTTTGAACAATAGCTCATAAGCCTAGTGTAAGAACAAAATTCCAACCAATACAGGCCAGAGTTCATGATTAGCCTACAAATGATATTTTAATCAGACATTTTTAAAAGCTTTACCTGTTCTGGGTCTGTTGTCATTAGCTCACAGTTGTGCCTGAATCTGCACTCCCAATGCAGCCCTCTCTTACAGTAATAGCACACAGTTTGTGACCTGCGCCGTATGTGAACGCCTGCACCTCTATTGGAACAGATGCAGCAATCCTTCTTTGTCTTGCATCTCTCCAATCGGAATGATTTCTTAGGCTTCTGTGCCTAAAAAACAAACAGAATATAGACCTGAATAATAAGGACTCCAAGTTTAACATGTGAGGAATTAAATAAATGGTCTTCGAATTCACTCTTGTTCAAGTACAAATAGAAGATGATATTCCCCTCAACATGAAATGTTTACACAATGTGGTTTAGTTCATATGCACTGTGTCTCCTGCTTAACAATACTCTGGGAATTGGCCAGCTACATTTATAACATTTTACAATTTAATGAATTTTATTTAATTGGGAGTTGGCAATTTTGGGCTTTTAGTGACGTGTATCCATCTTGTTTGTCAAAAAAAAATTGGTGAAATTGATATGGAATTACTGATACTAAAATATTGATGATATAAAGATATAATATTTACACAAATTCACAATCCCACATAACGGCTCCTTTGCAGTATAAATTGAATTAAATTGACACCGTACATTTGCCTTCCCAGCCCTAGGGCCTAGGAGTTGAATTTCAGTATAATTACAAGAATTAAAGCATGCATAATGATTCCAACTAAAAACTTGTCCCTACCTCTGGTGGTTTTGAACGGTGGCCATACTTTGAATACTTCTTGTGTAAAAGCTGACTGAGGGTGGGATGTTTGTGTTGAGCTAAGGCGGGGCATTCATGTTGAGCTCTACACATCTCATGGAGGTTATTGTCACACCCAGCACACATAGCCATCACACCACCTTGCTGGCATTCAACGCACACTCTGGCTGGGGCATGTATCATGATGCCGTCTACAGCAGTATTCTAAAAGGGGGAAATGGGTTGAAAGCTGATAAGTAATGAGGTTGTATCAAAGCAAGCAAGTCTACTCATTGTGAATAAGATTTTAATCACTGGCTGTGCATGAACTCTCTTTACCAATCACCTAAACAAAAATTTGCGTACAGTTACAATGCATAAAATCTACCTAAAAAAAGTTTATCTTGCATTCCACAGCCTAACTGATCAGGAGTATCAAGAAAATAAAGATTATATAAAACTGGGCACACTGAAGGTCATGTCGACTCAAAAGTCACGTTTTATGTCAGAATTAATATTAGAAGCTCATGTTTCAAATATAGTATTACCACTTTATAGGAATTACATACAAAACAAAATGTTTCTTGAGGTATCGAATGGTGGGCATTTTGTTTAATACAGGGCAACTATGTAACTGCATTGTATGTCTTGACTTTCATGCTGAAATCACAAGTTTAGCTTCAATTAGAGATATTGTACATTTGAATACTAACAATAACACTACACTCAAAATAAAAGTAAAGGTTAATTGAGAATAGACCAATCAATGCACTCTTGTATCATTTCGAGCAAGCAGTATAAACTTAAAGGGCAATCCAACCCTTGTAATAGGTTGATTTATATGAAAGCAGAAAAATAACAGAAACAGAATGGCAAGGGTTTGAAATAAATCGGTCTAATAGTAAGAAAGTTATGAATGTTTGAAATATGAGATCACTAAGTCTATGTGAATCTAAAATTGGTAGTTTGGTCAGTGGATTGTGACGCAGGACGTGGATCACTCTCCTATTGGCAGTGAAAAAAAATATCACTAATTTCTGTTTTTCTCGTAAGTTCCTTCTCCCTTGGGGCTCTACTCAAAATATATTATAAATATAATATTATTATAGGAAACTCTAGAAAGAAAATGCCCCTCTGAGACATTATTTTGTTTAACATTTAAATTTTAGTCATTTTATATGTTGGAACAGATGGGAAAGTAGTCCGGCACTACATCACATTGACATTACTGCTTCAGCTAATTTGAAGTACCCATACGTATAGTGATTAAAACTCTAAAAAAACTCATAAATTTCTCATATTTAGTCAGATTTAGTTTCATCAGTTTGCTTCTCTGATTTTTCTGCTTTCTTTTAGAGTACATGTAGATGTCTATTTGGGTTGTATTTCCCTTTAATCTTACATATTTTTCTATCTCTCTTTATGCTCTTTGGATGTTAATCATTTGAATGCCTCATATAGCATGGGGGCTAATAGTTAAACCTTTACAATAGTAACTTACAATTAATTTTATGTTACAAATAGATATTATTCATAAATTGCATCTAGATTGGAGATATATTTTTGTGATTGATTAAAATCTAGGAAATCCATTCATTAAAGAATAACCATGGTCAAATACTATGGATTACCATTCACACAGTACACAAGCGAAGCTTTGGTTCATATGCTGTGTTATGGGCCTTTCCTGTAAGCATGCATTCTGTAGTGCAGGCAGTTTTTTAAATTTTTTATTCAATTTCCTGGCACCCAAAGACTCTGTACTGGGGCCCCTATGCAGGGCCTCAGGGTAATAACAGGAAGTCATGTCAGACCTGATAATTAGCAAAGGAACCCTAACATGAACAAAATTTGGAACACAACAGAATGGAGAGAAAATAAATCAACAAGCCTGTAGAGCATGCAACTTTATGAATTGCCTGTATCATAGTGCTGTAAGCAGTGTTCTCTCTATATATTGATATGTTTCTCTATCTAGGTCTCTGTCCACCCTCTGTATCTCTTTCCATCAATATCTTATGGTTTTCTTTATAAATAAACAACCTGTCTACTTTTGTTTTACACATTTTAAGTGTTGTTTCTTTTTTGTCTTTATAAAATACAAAAATTCCAAAAATGTTAAATAAAAATTGGAAAATGATATTTTGTATTAGGATTTACATGCATAATGATAAAGATTGAATGTCTCAATGTTGTCAAGATATATAAATGTACAGGACTAATTGAACTCAACACGTAATCAATATTGGAGCCTACATCTCATTAAATATTTTGGCATATCTTGTCCAACAAACCCTTAAATATTGACCTTGAGGCCATTAAACATTACATCAATCACCTCTGTATTGTCATTGATTCCATGTATATCAGAGTTTAGATCACACCGATGAAGCACAGAGCAATCTTGATGGAGCCCCCGGCCACAGTTGCTGCACACAGTAGTTGTCAAATGTCGTTCATCCACATGAGTTAGGCCATTGCTGCATACACTACATGCTAGATAGCCCTCTGAATTCTCCAACGTTTCCTGATCAGAGTGCAATGGTGTAAAGCCCACAGAGCTGGTTGGTATTCCTCTATGCTTTCGTTTGAGGTTAGCCGGGGCCTGTGTCAGAGCAATCAGGGAAGAACCTTGTTTGAAGATCACTTGCTTGCTTGCCAAATTTCATCAACAAATTCACAACGGGAATCAAAAACAATTTGGAATTTATTGGATCAAATAAACTTTGTAAGTTAAAAGTCTTCTTTATTCTTATAATTGAGAACAAATATAATGTATTGCCTACATAATTTACTACACAAGGGCTCAAATGTCAGTCTATAAGACTCTAGCTCTAGCTTTGAATAGTACTCTAAACTCTTAAAGTAAGTCTATATTGTTAGTTTCTTTTGTAATTCATTAATATACTGACATACATGAAAGAACTCACACAATTTTGCTACAAGAAGGGAACACTATTTTGACAGTTTCTTTACATGGACATGAACAATCTTCATGTATTTCTAAAATTCAAAAAGAGCAACAATAACTTATTGTATCGATGTACATTACAATATTTCTAAGCTACAATGATTTTATACATGTACTGTAAGCTCAATAATAACACAGAAAGCAAACTTTACCTATCTACATGTACAGTGTGGGACCTATACAGTGCATAAAATACTAAAAACAATAACAAACACTTTGAAACATTACATTGACATTTGACAATACACTAACCTTATCAATAAAGGGTAAAGAAGTTTTTGTCGATAGCGGTGTTGGACGGCAGGTCGTGCAGGCAACATGCAAGCTAACAGTTGCTGGCTGCAAATCAAGTGCTTGCAGCAATGACGCTATGAATTTTCAAATAGGCCTTCATTAAATATTAAATTTATAAGTTTGTATTAACGTTTGGTTCGACGGTTTATACTATAAGGTTCCAGAACTATACCACTAGTACCCCCCCAGCTCCTGATGAAAACAGGCAAACATGTAAACTGAGCAGTAACCAATTCAACAATTGTTCTATGATTTCTGATAACTATATACAGAAGTCTTTTGCATGCATACATGTAATTTATAGTAGACTGTGAACATATGACATAATTTATTCCAAGATTTGAGGAATTTACCAATTTCTTAAGTATTACATGAATACGAGACAATGAAGTTTCCTTAACAAGTAAAGTTGTATTCAAATTTCAGCTGGATGATACATTTTGTGTTAGTGAACAAGCAACTGTCAAAATAGATTCCACTTCTTTAGTAGCAAAATTTACCAAAACTATGTACATGTATAGTTGAATATGCAACTTCAATCTTACACTTAATTTTTTGCAAAAAGGGATAAACATCTGTAAATCAAGTGATAACAATTTAAAAAAAAATTATTACGATATTTTAGAATATAGGAAAATATATAATTTAAAATTATACACAGAAAGGGGAACAAAATATAAATGGGATCTTAATGATTATTATTTAATGTTTCAGATTGAACATAATCTAGTAATTGAATTTATCTTGATAATCCCCCCCCCCCTGTCTCTCTCTCTTTATTAATCTTCCCCCATACCTCTCTCACTCCATTCTCCTTTGTCTTGCTCCCACCCTATTTCACTCCCTCCCCTTCTCTCTCTTTCTCTCTATCCTTGTTTTCTCTCTTCTCTTCCCAACCCGAACTCCCTTGCCTTCTGTTTTATCAACAAGACTACTTAGCTGGACTTTGTTGAATGAACACTGTTACCAACACCTGCAGTACAACAATATTATTGCTATCAGAAACACCCTCCAACGCTCCATTACAAACCCACCTGTCTGGAGTGCCGTAACAGATCTGTATTGCCTGCAGACTCCTGACCTGTGCTTATGCCTGAGTCTGGTGGTGAGTCTAACTGTATAGTGACAGGTCCGTCATTCTGTATATGAACCTGCATGTGTGCTCCAAATTGACCATCTGCCAAGTATGAGAATGTCAGTCTACATGTTAAATTTGGATGTGTAGATATACAAGTACATGTATGATTTCTTGTTAGTTGTGTACGGTACTTACATGTACATGAGTGACGTGGCACAAGTCTTTGCAATTTTGAAGAAAGAAACAAATCTACACTTTACCAAGTTGTGAAGACCCAAAGAATAGAGCCTGACATGTATTATTTCACTGTAGAAATATACATGTTGAAAAATCAGTCCGGTCTTTTTAATTATTGAAGTATTAAAGGTATTACAAAGTTTTGGTAAATCTTGAAAATTGGCTGGATAGTGATTCTTTACAATTTTTATATATCTAGATGCCCCTATGGATGTATTTATAAGCACTAAAAAATTCAGCCCTTAAAACACTTCTGCTTTCGAGAAAAATTGAATATACAAATTTACCGGTGCTCCCGGTAAATTTTAATAAATTTCAAATAGCGCCTACGATCATACGATGGTAGTTGCGACCATGAAAATCTCACAATATGTAGTTGTGATACATGTACATATATTTTAAACGGTAATAGCAAATCGGTCGATTTTAGTCAAGGAACATTGTTTTATAGCTAAATTAATATATTGACCTTGAGAGGGCGCTGTACAACATAAAGAGTTTATTATTTACAATTTCATAACTTTAGAATCGATTTCAACCGTGACAACGTTCACTGAATATTGTAGGATCACATATGCTTCCAATATGTTCATTTGAACCAAATTCATGAGCCCATACCAAAACTTTGTATTAACTTTAAGTAGATAGTCTTTAGTGACAATCTCATTGAATTTCTTAGAACTCTCCCTGTTCTTATTCTAAATGAATATTAAACTTTATTTGCTATAATATCCTTATGTGATGTTTTTTTCTTCTCCCTTTCTTCCTTACATTGGAATCATTGATTATCAATTCAACAACTTGAACAACTTATCACATGTTCCATAGTTGTATTGGGGTTTCTCTATCATCGTTTATACATGGAAATGATTTGAAGATTCCTAAAACATGTAATTCCAAATCATCAAACTACATGTACATTATGTTCTATATATGTACAGCTAGCATGAGGAATTAAACAATCTTTGAATTGACCCATGTGACTCATAAACCTTTATGATTTATTCTTACTTGAAGGGTTGTTTCCCATTAACTGCAGCACTGGAAATGAAGTCATGAAACATGAGCATGGCTAGATATTGCAATACTTTCATGAAACAATTATGTACATCGATCAAAGCCAAAATTTCAATTATCATGCGAATGATTTTTTTTTAATCGAGCACACACCTACTCCATTCTGAAGACGAAGTGACAGGGCTTTTTCAACTAATATATTACTAGTACAGTATGTTTGATGAATTACATTTCAAATTGTTTTTCATTCCATAAGAAGCATATCAAAACCTCACCTTTAATCTTATCCGGATTATAATCCTTCCTTAGCATGTCAAGGAATTCATTGTAGTATGTTTGTGATTGGTCTCCTGGCATTGCCTGATGGAAGTCTGGTTTATTGCCCTTCAGTATAGAGTACAGTGTAAACTGAAAATAAATATAAAACATACACCACATAATGTATCATTCTGTACTTACCGTACTAAAACTACCTACATTCTGTTGTGTAACATTTTTAATAGTTGTTGCCATCACACACAGCAAATATGGAATTCTTAATATTCTATTAATATTCCTCATTGCACAAGTCCATGGACCGAAGGGCATTACGTCTGTGTTAAAGTGCATTCATAAGAACACCTCTGTGGTTCTTAGCAAAAGATTTGTACATTTAGTACTCTGCTTTAGCAAGAACTTTACCGAGGTATTTTACAATCTGATATTCTGAGTAGACCCTAACTGCTCTTGCGCCTCCACATGCAATTCTAACAATTTTACAATCAATATAAATAGAAATTTGCATGTTGCATCCTAATATTAAATTCACATTTTGTAGACTTACAAAAACATGTATGTTACATGTATACCGGTATGTATGGAGCATTATACTGAGCAAATATAAGCACCATGAAATCAGGGGTGATAGTGAGCACTAAAAAAAAAAAAAAAAAAATCCTCAACCCCCCCCCCACCTCTTGAGCGAAAAGAAGAAAAAAAAAATTGGGAGGGGGGGGGGGGGATGGCATCTAACAAAATTCCTCCCCCCTCCCCCACCCCCTTTTGAGTAAGAAAATTGTGGAAAAATAAGGGAAAAATCAAGAAAATAGGGGTAAAATTGTGAAGAAGAAAAACATATCAGGGGGAAGAAAAAAAAATTGGGAAACCGATTTAAATTGGGTAATTATCAGGCCTGCATTAATTCCCTTTAACATGCAGTTTTCCAGTTCTATCCAATATGTGATCTGAAATACTATGATTTAAAATGCAGGGATAAATGAAGAAATGTAAATTCTATACAATTTCACATATGAATATTAATTACCTGACTGACACAAAGAATTTCCAGTTGTTTGTCTTTGACACTCTTCGCCCATCTTTTGTCATTTTCATCATCAAACACCCTCAGGTTCAAAATCTTCCTGACTCTGTGAAGAGAAAGAAAAGTTTCAACAAAATTTATTCCTCTTCACTGTTATTGACATTCTTTATAACTGACAAATACTTCACATTTACAAACAAGTTTTAAACTTTCTCTTCCAGTTCCAACATGACACACTAAACTAAACGCCATGAAACCTATCTTGAATAAATTATTAAAAAATAAAGAAACGGTGAAGTAAAATTTACAAAAGAATGTACATGTAAGGTACATTGTAATAAAAGTACCCACAATTTAAAAAGAAAATACATACTGGTACTGGTACATGTACTTGAATGTATGTAATACACGTACCTTTAGACATACGTAACACTTCTTGACAAAAGCTTGCCCAATATAGCAACAAGTACTTCATGCAGACATGATTCAAGTGTTGTAGATCATTCATTAATAGCAGGTCAATGAAAACCCTTGTCACTAGGACCCCAGAAAAGAAACATCCATACATTTGAATAAATATTAAAGCTTATCTGCACTAGTTTGGCCAGAAGGGATATATTAGACCTCCCTGTATGGTCACTAACGGGTGGTTATCTCATCAGATCAGCTCTCAATGGGTACAACTTAGGCATTGTTTTCATTTGTATAAATCTTGCACATATTCTTGAGGAATATTGTACATCAATAGGCAAGAATAAATCTCTTCTTTCAGCATACCAAGTTTACCTACAATGTACACATATTATTCAGGCTGAGGATTCCTGTAAGTTTAAGGAGGGAAACCGGTATGTATGGACAATAGAGTACTCACATGTATTCTCTTTCTTTAGGAGTGTCATCTTTTGATATCCCCACCAGAATACAGAGTCCTCTTCCAATGCTACTTATCAATTCGTCACCAACTACAGAAAGAGAAACGGAGAAAGGAAAAAAAAACAATGATAAACATTAACAAAATCTATACAAGTTGAATAGGAGCGCATTTTCCTATTTCTTCACAAGGAGTGGGCAACACATGCATGCAGACTGGTCATCTTCGGTACTGTACACCTAAATAGCAGGGTTTGGACAGCCCGACCAACAGACAACCTGACCCTAGATAGCTCAACCTATCTAGTTATCCAGGGTGAAGGGCCTCACCAAACAGCTTGACCAACAATGACTATTTATGTGGTAAATTACAGATTAACTAATGCAGTCATGGCAGGGAAACATGGTAATTGTGGACAATTATGGTGCACAGAAGGAAAGTAACAATACTATTTTTAAAGATAAAGACCACTTCATCAGAAACTTTCTTTTTCCTTGCAGGTCTCAAAGTGAATGCCATGTTGGTTGTACAAAATCAAGGACACAGCAGAAAGAATATATCCTAACTATATTAGTTGTACACTGCACATCTCATTGAACGCGGTTAAGATTCATGAGAAAATTCAACAGCGGGACAAGGGTTGTAAGTTTCAAGACAAGTATAGCATTTCAAACATTTTTTTCTTGATTCACAACATTTGTATATTTACAAACGTTACTGCCAGCGGAAACCACAAGCCGCGACTCGGCGAGTGATGTTAATTTCGTTAATGTAATGTGATTACCAGTAGAGGGAATTTGAGGAGTTTTGTATCAACCTAGCCTATAATCTAGGCGGAGTGCCGAGCTTTTTTCTTTGCTGCTAGACTAACCCTAAGCAGAACGTCTGATACGGCGAGACTACGAACCGTGAGTCGCGAAGCGGCTCACCGCCTATAATCACTGGTCTAGCTAATCAATATTCATATATATTCAAAATGGCGGATCTATGAATCATTCAACAGCCCTACCAAATAAGGTACACCTATGTTACGTTCGACCAATCAGATATAAGAAACCGCAACGAAAAAAGATCATGATCATAGAATCCGTGGTCGCGTAGAAAATCACAGCACAAGGGGATTGCTTGGTATATTGCACTCTTTCCAAAACCAGTAGGTAATGCAACAAAAATATCCCTGCCGGCTTCAATAACGCTACGAATAGCGGATTCCTGCAGTTCTCTGAATTTTCCATTAGGAATGCCTAGTTTGTTGGCCGCATATGATAAACTTTCTCGCAGAAGATCGTCGTCGCATGAACTACCCGCCATCTTGGATGAAGAAAATGACGTAATGTCACGTGATTTATAATATGCATATGCATAGACTCTTCTCCATACGTGTTTCTGATTGGTTGAGTTCATTTCGTATTCATGAGGTTTTTTTCGTACGAAAAACTGCCACGGATTCATGGTCGATAATAAAAAAACGACTAAAGCTAGACCAGTGATTATAGGCGGTGAGCCGCTTTGCGGCTCACGGTTCGTAGTCTTGCCGTATCAGACGTTCTGCTTAAGGTTAGTCTAGCAGCAAAGAAAAAAGCTCGGCACTCCGCCTAGATTATAGGCTAGTATCAACCAAGCGAGTCAATATGTTGTGAATGATGAAAACAAATTATGGATATAGAGATAGCTGTGTGTAAATGTTTTACCCTACTTCATCGCTGTTATGCGGGCCGCATTTCATTCATGAGCTATTTTTGTAATTACCGGTACATTTATCTGAATCTGAATTCTCCTTGGATTACGTGGTGTTCAACGGCATTATTTACATTGAGATTCTACGAGATAATCATGTTTTTTCAGCAACTGTTTTGGCTAGTTTCATGATCAAGTGACTGAGTTCTTCAATTCTGACCGTATGAGAACTTGTGGCCCAGCTCCAGCAGCTGACTCGGATTTGGAAGACAGTGATATGGAGTATGAGTAAGAGACTTGTCCCACACATACCGTATTTGCCGGCGTAAAGGCCACAGTATTTTTGGAAGAGAAAATATCAAAAAGTTGGGGTGCGGCCTTTGCGGCGAAAGAGTAAAAAACCCCCCCCAAAAAACACGAAAAAACAGCACAAATTTGCACATATTGGACTACAAATAACTTACCACTATGGTACAGGACATTTCCACACATCTTACCTACAATTTTATTTTGTATTATTGACATGAAGACAAAAAAAAAACTTCCTAAAACAACATCTGCCGATAGATCTTGATCTAAGTTTGTGCCAAGTAAAAGAAGGGACCGTTACGGAGCTGCCGCGAACGCAACTGCACATCCAGCCGAAGTCGTCATTTTGTATCGATTTCATGCAATTTCGCATTACACCGTACATTGTGGTAGGTGTACATATCCGACACCAAATCTGCCTGTGATCCCTTTTTAGCTAAATTTCTGGTAATTTATAAGAATATTGATGAATTTGGTATCAGTGTGTAAAAAAAATGAGTGTTCTACAAGAAAATTACAATTACTTTGTTTTGTCCGTTTGTTTTTTGTTTTTTGTTCTCCTCTTTGAAATGTCAAAGTTGGGGGTGCGGCCCTTATCACTGGCAAATACGGTATATGTACACCTTTATATGGCAGGCGTTTCTTTACAAGTTATCAAATAGGGACACCAACCGCAAACACTATTGGCAGCATTACTATCCTGGCTGTGTATTAAGATGGGCAACACAGACTACACTGTACTGCAGTACATTCATGCAACATTTAAAAAAACCTGTACCGGTATACTTTCAAATGGTTTTATAAACAAATTGAATGAATCAATGTTGATTACAATTAAGTAATGATTGGAAATGACAAGTTTTATTTCTATGATTTTGCAGATATTTGAGCCTATTTTTATCGATTGGGCCAACCGTACTCTGTTCCGCCATTTTCTAATTTTATGTTTTTTTAAAAAGAAGGGAGACTTTATCGTTGCTGATTGGTTGCTAACACAGGGCAGCGGCAGGCTATCTGCACATGTGAGATAGACAGCCACCCGTCCGATATTGCACAACTGCTTTAAATGACGTCACTGGTAGAGTGTCCGCAACGCACACTTTTTTTATTTTATTGATATTATGAGGAGGGAACTAAGCATTCGTCTCTCGAGAAGGAGGGGGGAAAAGGGCTTTAAAAGTAAGTTTATTAAATTTCTTTCCATTTAGTATAAAAATCATGTACCAAAATGGTATATGATTCAATCAAGACCATAACCCACGTTAGGCCATTTAAAAAAAAATCATGTTGTAATGTCGAGTATTTTACCAGTATAAAAGTTCAAAAATGGATCTATTGATTTACACCTGTCAGCAGGTATGAAGTCCATCCTGTTTATGGTTAGACCTTCATGCATTGCAGAAGTGCCGGCAACCTACACTGTACATTGTACCTACAGACATAAAAGAATAGGCTTTATCAGTGGACATGATATGGGGTCCAGACAACTCGCCACAAAGACAACCCGCCCCAAGACAATCCGCCACAATACCCTGGACATCTCGCCACAATACCCTGGACAACTCGCCACAGGCGAGTTGTCCAGGGTGGGGTGCCTTTTCGGACAACTCGCCACACTTTTTTCCCCTCATGATTTCTAGATCTAAAATAGATGGAATTGTCATTTTATGTATTCATTATTCTTTTATAAACACAGTCATGACAGGAAACATGGAAATTTTGAGAGTTGTTCTAAAGAATGAAGATGATTTTCCTTGCGCTTGCAACAAGACCCACAACAAGAATCTATTTTGGACTGTGCGAAACTAACCTAGAAAATCTAGAAATAAACCATATTTCAATTTTATTTCGTGGGTCAACTGCCCCCTCCCCCATCAGGACGCCAGTGCTTCCAGTACCCTTCCATAAATTCCTACCATTAAAAATTATCAGAAGGGAAAAAGGACATGTACAAAGGATAAAGGGGGCACTTTAGGGGAACCTGAAAAAGTGGGGGCACAGTGTCCCCCCCCCCCCCATGAAGAATGCCGCCTCTGACGAAACTAACCCAGAAAATCTAGAAATAAATTACATTTCAATTTTATTTCGCGGGTCAAATAACCCCCCCCCCCCCCATCAGTACACCAGTGCTTCCAGTATCCTACCATTAAACAATTTCTGAGACAGAAAAATGCAGCTGCTATAGACCTATAGATCTAAATACCAAGTTATCCTAATGATCTGGCGATCGTACGCCTTCGGTTTGTCAAAAATATATTATTGTTGCAAGGGAAATCAGCTTTATTCTTTATTCTTTGTAATGACTGTGTTTATAAAAGCATGAAAATCATGAAAAATGACAATTTCATCTAAGATGAGGGATTTTAGATCTAGAAATCATGAGGGGAAAAAAGTGTGGCGAGTTGTCCGAAAAGACACCCCACCCTGGACAACTCGCCTGTGGCGAGTTGTCCAGGGTATTGTGCGAGATGTCCAGGGTATTGTGGCGGGTTGTCTTGGGGCGGGTTGTCTTTGTGGCGAGTTGTCTAGAATTCCATGATATCTATTCATAACTGACCTGGTCAATGCCGCCAGTCAATGAGAGGATTAGTCCATTGTCAAGCCTCAAGGGTAGCTTTGTGCTAGCACACTTAGTCTTAGATTTTACAAACTTCCTCTCCTCTTGAACACATGGTTTTGATGTGTAAAGAAAGCTTAGGGCGGCATTAAACTTTTCAACAGTCTAATTAGAAAAAAAAGAAAAAAAATTGATCGACACTTTGGGAAATTCCACTTTGTATCATTCTTCAATTTTGTGTGTGCGATGATCAGAACCGGAGGCGGAGCGATAGAGTGAGCAACCGAATATTTACTAAATATTCAAGCGTCGGATTTCAACGTTGGATTCTAGGAACTTAATGTTAAGTAGACTCTAGGGTGTCAAATTATATAGACCTGTCTCTCGATAGAATATTTATTCACTTACCTGCATATGAGTCTACGCTACAATACAAGTAGATCTATAGGCCTAGAGTCTATGCCATATTTGCCACGGCCATGGGCCTGGCCATAGCGCACAGCATGCGACAGGGCGGGACCACCGGCCAGGGGCCCACAACACACACGTTACTTACACAGAAATTGTACGACAGACTTTCACACACATTTTACATTCATACATCACACAACAAAGGCGATCGAGACGAGGGTCTCTTTCGAAACGGCTGTAATTGTTTGTAAACAGAACACAGAACTAGTAAACGGTCTGCTTAATTCCTTTAAAACTGTTTAACTTACCAGTTACACTCGCTTTGGTGACTCGTTGGATAACTGTCCTCATTTTGACTAATATTAAAAATTAGTAGCCATCCAGGCGAAATGCAAACGGGCCCTGCCGCAAGCCGGATATAAGTACACACAACAGTACGGCAGCAGCATTGCAGATCAACAACCAGTGCAGCTACAGTATGCGCAACAGTGCACTCGAACTGAATTCGTAGGCTAATTTTCCTTCGAAATACAATAAGTATTCGTATAATGATAATATATATATTTTTTTATGGCGCTTGTCATTCGTTTTTTTAAATATTTACGCCAAAATTACTAGAGGATTATGTTATAGTTTGATCTTAATTAAGGATATCTTCTTTTATCTTATTTGTTTACAGACCGTGATCATTGTTGAAGTCTATTGATCGACTGACACAAATAGCCAGATCTTATTTAATTACTCATGGTTATTATGGAACATTTTTTTTAATAATTTGAATCTTCAGCCACATTATACAAAGCAGTATTAGATCTGTGAATTTTAGGGAACTTGTGTGATGTATGGAAAGCAGTCAACACATTAGTTGTTGCCAGGTTTTCTGTATTTTCTGGCCAGCCCGGTTATAAATAATGTTTTCTTCTAATGACAGGTTAAGTCCCCTGTTACACCTACCCAGGGGCGTCGCCAAAGGGGGGGTGTGGGGGGTGCGACACCCCCCCCCCACCTGTCAGGATATTGTCGGTAAAATTGCGCTGCCGTCGGGAAAAAGAGAAAAGGGGGAGGGAAAAAGAGAAAAGGGGGAGGGAAAAAAAAGAGGGGGGAAAAAAGAAAGGGAAAAAAGAGAGGGAAAGGGAAAGAAAAGAAAAAAAGAAAAGGAAAAGAAAAGAAAGAAAGGAAAAGAAAGGAAAGAAAGGAAAAGAAAGGAAAGAAAAGAGAAGAAAGAAAGAGAAAAAAGAAAAAGAGGGAGGAGAGGAAAGAAAGGAAAAGAAAGAAAAGAAAGAAAAGAAAGAAAAGAAAGAAAAGGAAAAAAAGAAGAAAGAAATGTGAAAGGGAAACAAAAGAAACGGGGATGAAAGAGAGGAGAGAGAGGGGAGGTAAGAGTCTGAGAGAGGAGGAGTGGGAGTAAAAGAGAGAAGGGGGTTGTTGGGTGGAGTCGTCTCGTCGAGAGAGCAAGAAAGACACGGGTAAATATGTTGCTGTGTCGGGTCAGCTGTGTCGGTATTCTTGCTCGATCCTCGTGTACTATATCAATGCAGAAATTTGAAGTCGGTGAGATGTATATTGTCGGTCGGCAGACAATTTTTCTTCCCTACGAACTGTGACTTCTTATCCGCTGTGACGACTTCGAGAGTGACTACAACTACAATACTTGTATTTTCTCGAAGTTTCACTTTCCTATAATATCAGCTAAAGAAATCGGAGGTTTAAAATTTTCGGGGAAACTAAATTCAAACAAGGTTTAAGAGTCAACAACGGTACGACGAATCGTTTTCCTTTCTTTATATTGTGATGAAACGCCAAAAAATTCCGCGCTTCGCGCGGCAGGGAAAACTTCATTTAGACGAGTCGAGAACGGTACAACGAATCGTCTTCTTTCTCTAATAATTTAAGGAAATGTCAAAGCTTCCGCGCTTTGCGCGAGAGTGGGAAACTGAATTCAGACAAATAGGGCTTATTAAAAGTCGAAAACGGTACAACGAATCGTGTTCTTTCTCTAATAATTTGAGGAAACGTCAAAGCTTTCGCGCTTCGCGCGAGAGGGGGAAACTGAATTCAGATGAATAGGGCTTAAAAAGATTCGAAAACGGTACGAGGAATCGTCTTCCTTTCTCTATATTGTGATGAAACGCCAAAAATTCCGCGCTTTGCGCAGAAGGGGAAAACTTCTTTTAGACGAGTCGAGAACGGTACGACAAATCGTCTTCTTTCTCTAATAATTTAAGGAAACGTCAAAGCTTCGGGGGAAACTGAATTCAGACAAAATTAATAGGGCTTATTTAGAGTCGAAAACGGTACAACGAATCGTGTTCTTTCTCTAATAATTTGAGGAAACGTCAAAGCTTTCGCGCTTCGCGCGAGAGGGGGAACTGAATTCAGATGAATAGGGCTTAAAAAGATTCGAAAACGGTACGAGGAATCATCTTCCTTTCTCTATATTGTGATGAAACGCCAAAAATTCCGCGCTTCGCGCAGAAGGGGAAAACTTCTTTTAGACGAGTCGAGAACAGTACGACGAATCGTCTTCTTTCTCTAATAATTTAAGGAAACGTCAAAGGGTCGGGGGAAACTGAATTCAGACAAAATTAATAGGGCTTATTTAGAGTCGAAAAAGGTACAACGAATCGTGTTCTTTCTCTAATAATTTGAGGAAACGTCAAAGCTTTCGCGCTTCGCGCGAGAGGGGGAAACTGAATTCAGATGAATAGGGCTTAATAAGAGTCGAAAACGGTACGATGTATCGTCTTCCTTTCTCTATATTGTGATGAAACGCCAAAAATTCCGCGCTTCGCGTGGAAGGGGAAACTTCATTTAGACGAGTCGAGAACAGTACGACGAATCGTCTTCTTTCTCTAATAATTTAAGGAAACGTCAAAGCGTCGGGGGAAACTGAATTCAGACAAAATTAATAGGGCTTATTTAGAGTCGAAAAAGGTACAACGAATCGTGTTCTTTCTCTAATAATTTGAGGAAACGTCAAAGCTTTCGCGCTTCGCGCGAGAGGGGGAAACTGAATTCAGATGAATAGGGCTTAATAAGAGTCGAAAACGGTACGATGTATCGTCTTCCTTTCTCTATATTGTGATGAAACGCCAAAAATTCCGCGCTTCGCGTGGAAGGGGAAACTTCATTTAGACGAGTCGAGAACAGTACGACGAATCGTCTTCTTTCTCTAATAATTTAAGGAAACGTCAAAGCGTCGGGGGAAACTGAATTCAGACAAAATTAATAGGGCTTATTTAGAGTCAAAAGCGGTACAACGAATCGTGTTCTTTCTCTAATGATATGAGGAAACGTCAAAACTTCCGCGCTTCGCACGAGAGGGGGAAACTGAATGCAGACAAAATTAATAGGGCTTATTTAGAGTCGAAAACGGTACAACGAATCGTGTTCTTTCTCTAATGATATGAGGAAACGTCAAAGCTTTCGAGCCCCGCGCGAGAGGGGGAAACTGAATTCAGATGAATAAGGCTTATTAAGAGTCGAAAACGGTACGACGAATCGTCTTCTTTCTCTAATAATTTAATGAAACGTCAAAACTTCCGCGCTTCGCGCGGGAGGGGGAAGCTTTATTCAGATAAGGATTAAGAGTCGAGAACAGTACACCGAATCGTCTGCTTTTTCTCATAATTTAATGAAACGTCAAAGCTTCCGCGCTTCGCGCGAGAGGGGGAGAAACTAAATTCAGACAAGAATTAAGAGTCGAGAACAGTACACCGAATCGTCTGCTTTTTCTCATAAATTAATGAAACGTCAAAACTTCCGCGCTTCGCGCGGGCGGGGGAAGCTTCATTCAGATAAGGATTAAGAGTCGAGAACAGTACACCGAATCGTCTGCTTTTTCTCATAAATTAATGAAACGTCAAAACTTCCGCGCTTCGCGCGGGCGGGGGAAGCTTCATTCAGATAAGGATTAAGAGTCGAGAACAGTACACCAAATCGTCTGCTTTTTCTCATAATTTAATGAAACGTCAAAGCTTCCGCGCTTTGCGCGGGAGGGGGGGAACTGAATTCAGAAAAGGATAAACAGTCGAGAACGGTACAGCAAATCGTCTTCTTTTTTATAATAATTTAATGAAACGTCAAAGCTTTCGCGCTTCGCGCGGGAAGGGGGGGGGGGGGGGACTTCATTCAGCCAAGGATTACCAGTCTAAAACGGTACAATTAATCGTCTTCTTTTCCTAATAATTTAAGGAAACGTCTAAGCACTTCGCGCGGCAGGCCCATCACCCACACCCCCCTAATGAGCGCGCTTTTAATTGATTCTCTTGCTCACTACCGCCCCTCCCAAAATAAGATCCTAGCTCCGCGCCTGCATTAAAATATATAGCTATGATGCTGACAAAATTGAAGAAATAATTCGTTTATTTACGTCGTCGAGGAAAATATACATTTTGCGCATATGCAAGTACCATAGATAGTCCATGGGAAAAACAATTTAGCCTTCGGCCCCAGGTTTATAGGGTTGAATTTGTAGATATTGGACATTTAATTTTGTCGGTAATTGGTGGCTAGTTTTGTCGGTAATCGTTGGCCTCTACACCCCCCCACTGAAAAAGGGCTAGCGACGCCCCTGCACCTACCCCCACTCCGGGGTCGGAATGACCGCATGTGTGTTACCAAAATGTCCGGTAAAGGGGTACTTAATTTTCACGCACCTAAAATCTGGCTCGTAGTATACACAAAATTGACTTTACACACCGGACTTAGGGGTGTTTTTCAAAATGAGGGAACACGCATAACACCCTAAATAACACTATTTTTTTTTTTTTTTTTTTTGGAGGGGGGGGGGGGGGGGGGCGGGGTTAAGCGTGTGCCTCCAATGCGTGTGATGCTTGCTTGTCCAGAGGCGGCGCATCCGGTGGGGGGGGGGGGGGGCAGGGGGCACAGTGCCTATTCCCATTTTGTTCAAGTAGCCCAAAGTGCCCCTTTTACATAGGAAAAGTGCTCATTTTATTTTTTTGAAAAGTGCCCCTATTACTTTCCATCTATGATAAGTGCCTCTGTTATTTTCACACGTGTCCCTTTGCCTTCGACATGTTCCCATTTTCTTTGCAATACGTGTCTATTGTCCGTTCTCATAAGTGGCCTTTTTAATCTCTAGTTAGTGCCCCTTTTCAGCTACGAGAAGTGCCCCTTTTCACTTTTGATAAGTGGCCCCTTCACCTCTAATAATTAACCTATTCAAATTTGAGATGTGCTCCTTTTACTTGACAAAGGCATCTTTCCCTTTGTAAGAAGTGCCCCTTCCCCCTTTTAACTCCGATAAGCGCACCTTTTATTACAAAAGAGCTCCTCCCCCTTCTCATAAATGCCCCTCTTCACCTATGAAAATTGACACTTTTCACTCACATAGCCTAAGTACCCTTTTTCATATTTGGTCAGTGCCCCTTTTCAGTTTGATAAGCGCCCCTTTTCCCCTCTGATAATTTCCCTTTTAACAATGATACGTACCTCCT